ATGAGAGAGAGATGGGATGTGTGTCTTCAAGTGCAGGTGGACGAGGAGAGTTTATGTTCTCTGTTTATAGTCTATTTGTCTCCACTCTGGCACTCATCTCATGTCACTGTTACTGACTGAACAAATGAGATGATATGTAGAGACTTACACTGTCTCATTATCTCCAGAGCTGTCCTCTGAATGATTACTAATGTGGATGTTAATAAACTGAGCTTGACATGTAACCCCTGAGATGACTGCTAATTCTGAGTTCCTTCTTGATACAGGATGATATCTCCTTGGAAGCCAGGCAGTGAATCAGCAGTCCACAAAACCACCAACAAAGAAGTCACCTATGTCTAGGCCAGTGGTGGGAAGCAGATGGTGAACCTCATTGTGGTCATCAACTAATGAAATCCTCCATTTGGTCTACAAACAACATTATGGGTGTTGTACCTCCACCATCATTTTTCCGGCAGTTTGTTTGTGCCTCAAGTGTTTGACTTGGTTTCCGACATCCTCTCCAGGAGCTTGGGTGTATCTCCAGTGTTCGAGTGTCTAGTGTGGGACTGTCTTGAACATAACAGAGTAACTGAACATCCAGCCAGTTCCAGAAACCAAGTATTCAGATAAGTGCGGACACTCATGGGTTTATTGCCAGGCTTCACTATTAAATGTCCATATTGATCATAGGGATGAGAAAGGCAGACTTTGGAACATTCATACACGTTCAGTCAAGTCTAGATCGGTTTGAAGTTTTGGTTCTTCATATCACTCTGGCTTCTTGAAGTTCTTTGCTGATTCTTATATAATGTATGTGTTACAATGATTACAGTATTTCTGAAGTTTCACTATTGACTGGAGTGTCACTCATTCATTGTTCTTAGCTGTCTAAAATACATGTTTGTTCAGTTAAATATTTTCATCTGTGTTAATATGGTTATGGTAGTAGACTATCATAACCTGGGGGCTATCTTTTTTTAGTAGTGGGGGTGTCCAGCCAAGTGTGCCTAGAAATAATATATATTTTGTAGTGCCAAAACTTGAGTTGCCCTACTCCAGAAATAAGTTGAGCGTATATTGGCCACGGGGCATCCCTTAGACCAATACGAGCCAACGACTCAACATAATTATTTTTGAGTGCTGTTGGTTCTTAAGGAGAAATCCTTAAATCAGGCACGTGACAGGAGTGATATGTGACAGTCGATAAAGGCTCCGGCTAAAATGTCCGATTGTTTCCGTGTGTGCTGACCCTTTTCACCCTTGTCTTGTCATTTGTTCTTGCCGTCCTAGTCATAATTTCTATTCAGTGAATTCACAAGTAATTTACGTTACGATGATACCATGGTCTCTATAGTAATAAGAAAGAAAGAGTTACAAGATATTATAGATACTGTTGTGGAAGAATTTGAATGAATGGTCCTTAGCTTGAATACTGCGAGGACAGAAGTAATGGTATTATCAAAGAATGGGAGAGTGCCTAAATGTATTATAACAGTCAAAGGCGTTATTCTGAGACAAGCACAGACGAATGCATATTTAGGCACATGGAAAACATCACATGTTAGAAGTGTCAACAAGATAATTAATATAATAAGACATGCAAAAACAGCGTTTTATAAATTAATAACATTTTATACAATAAATCCATGATATGGGAGGTTAAGAAAAAAAAAAAAAAAGACTTACCGCCCTGTATAAAGAGTCAGTGTTGACATCCGGCTGGGAATCATGGACAATTATTAAACACGCTAAACAATTTCTGGAGGTCTCTTTGATGATGATGATGTCTGAGCTACTGAATTCATCATATAGTCACACAGATAGACGGATAAATAGACGCATCCATAGAACGACAAATAGACAGACAGACAGTCAGGCAGATAAATAGACAAAAAGACATATAAACAGAAAGGCAAGCATAACTTTCGACAGACAGATCGACAGACTGACTTTAAAGACTCTTTTCATGACTGTAAAGCATATTGGCACTACAGTGTTAGATCTATATTTTGTAGACCAATCTGCACTTTACTTGATTTACCAGCACTTAAAAGCGAAGTGCCTAGGGGTTGTAGCGAAAGCCAACAGAAAAACTTTAGTGCAAGGCAGCCTGGCATACGACACCACAACATCTAGATTGAGAATGGAGGTGGCGGTGGCAACTGCAGCTCTTCGGTGGCTAGAGAACAAGATGCATATATATGTCGTAATTTTAACAGACTGAAAAAAGTGAAGTCAGTGGCAATCTTCACTGGAAAGGTCACGGGCAGTGAGCATACATTGGATCTTTTCCCCAAGCGTAGTGGGTAATGAACAGAGAGATAGATTAGCTGAATCTGCACTACTGGGTGGTTAATTGATACACGACAAGGCAGATGTGGTCAAGGTACTTTGGGAACAAGCAACAGAATCGGTAGAGAGAAGATTATTATGGCCTAGAGAGAATGAGGCACCTGGGTGTAACCAGAGGGTCTGGCCGGCTCACTACACTCAGAGGAAAGGCAAGACGGACATATAGCCAGATTCTGACCGGTACCATCAGTATTGGAACTCTACGCAGGCTGCTAAAGATGAAGACGGAGCGTGCATGGTAATAACTCGAGCGCTGTGATGTCAATTCTTGACTCAACTCAACATACTTTGTGCCCATTTAAGGCTAGGCTGATCTGGGAGACAAGGCCATTTTACCTACTGACTGACAAAAAAAAAAAAAAAAAAATTATTACCTGAAGGAAGTGTTTCGAACTGGAGCCTCCACCTCTGCCGGGCAGTCTGATCTATGTGCTTTGTCTACATCAGCACGAGTCACCTCGAGCCAGGACATCAGCAGGAAAACCACAACATAAAACATCGTCAAGGCGGAACTATATTTGCGCGGTCCAGGCGCCATGTCTATTTGGTCAGGGATCGAAGGATTTCGCGACTAATCCTTGTCATATAATCCTTAATCCCATGTTCATTACTAGTTTTCCAGAATTGTTCTGTTTGTCTGGTGTCTGCTCTTGTCTCGATGTCGTTAGTTAGTTCTACTCAAATTCGGAACAATTTTCCTAGCTCGCTGGGGAAGAAAAAAAAATTATAATTAAGTGAAAAACAGCAATTTACTTGGAGATTCGAGCGTATGGTGCCATATTCCTAATATTTATATGTCACAGTATTAAGGGGCACCTACACGAAGCAAAAACATGATGCTCGAAGGAATGTGGAAAAAGGGGATGAAAGCTCAATTCTCTTTTTGAGCATCCGTTGTGAGCCTGTTAATATCATAAATTGCGCTTGGCGTGGATCCCAAGATAGCAAAATGCTGCTGTGACCGCCTCCACCTCTATCCTCAAACTAACGCGTCTCTTTGCGTATCGGTTTTCTTTGCTTATCTTAATCTTTCAATTTTCACTTGCAACTATATTCCTAATTATTTATCTGTCGCCATTTACCTAACCCTAATACTTTACTCATCTACTTTCTAGTTCTATTAGTTTCTCTTATTGCACCTTACCCCATCTAAATTTCTCACTACCTGTATAACAATCGTTCCATCCACAATAGGGCATCACTTCACTTTCTCATTTTATATTACTTAATATCTGTTTCCGTATTTTAAAAAAAAAAAAAAAAACTTCCCTTCCCCACCACAACTGTCTACTAGCAACAGAAATTGACCACTTTTCACTCCTGAACTTGTCTAAATACATCAACACTAAGCTAAAACAATTGTTCAACAGCAACCCAACGGTTTACAGGTCACATGTATACAGTCGTAGCTGAACCATATCGATCAAATAGTGCCATATCTCGCCCAGATCTGTGATGCAGCACACATTCTATTGTGGCCTCGACTCTTTGAAGAAAACAACCAACAAAAACGAAATACAACAATAAATATGGTAATATGAATTTCTGCAACGTTCCCACGGAAACACGAATAAGGGAGATAACGGCGAGATATTTCTGACTACAGTATATTTCATTGCGGTTGTTGGTTTGGACTGGTGTAGATTCTGTTGACTGACTCTTGATTATGTTGACTGACTCTTTGGTCGACTTCTACTTTACTTAAAATGGGCAGCGTTTTATGATATCCCAGTACAACTGTGCTATATTTCTATATGGTTGAATGGTGTTTGAGGGAGTTGTACCTGCTTGATTCTCATCCTTGAAATGATAATCCTACAGACTACAATCCTGGAGTGGGAAAAAAAAAAACATTTCTTCTTCATCTTCCTTCTTCTTCTTTCTTTTTTCTTCCTTTTTCCTATTTCCTTCTTCTTCTTCTTCTTCTTCTTCTTCTTCTTCTTCTTCTTCTTCTTCTTCTTCTTCTTCTTCTTCTTCTTCTTCTTCTTCTTCTTCTTCTTCTTCTTCTTCTTCTGATTATAATAATAATAAAAATAATAATAATAAAAAAAATTATTGTTATAACTTCTTTATAGGTTATACAGAATATCTGTGATCTGCCCTGGACGACTGTCATCAAGACCGATAATTCTGGGTGTGTAATCCTCAGGGTGGTATGCTTTTAGAAGAGGCCAGGAGGGGACAAACTGATCTATCAATTTATTCGTACTGGTCTAGTGTGTTTTAACAGCCTCCTAGGACGAATACTACGTACTTTTACTGTTACTTAACTTTCTCGCATTGTATTTTCTTCGGTAGTCGTATCGAGAGCCGATTGAGCGGTAGCAATGGCAAACTACTGAGCTTAAATTTGCCTAGAAAAACCTTATCAGCCACACACATGATAGGACTGATTGTGGAAGGTCATGTAACGGAAACGCAGCTAACTTCAAATCACGGGAGTCGGGGGAGGGGAATGTGCCTAGTTGGTTGTGTTCTTAGTACGCTTGTCTCCATAGCGAGGCGCACACGCCGTCTGGTGTTGACAGGTTCAATTCATTCTGCTATTCTTTTGTTGTTGTTGTTGTTGTTGTTGTTGTTGTTCGATTACCTGAGGTATATATGATCGATGTATGTGGTTCAGCTATATCTGCCTCTATGGAACTTGCCAATCGTTAGGTTGTGGAGACTTATATATATATATATATTGGTGGATGATGTAGTCAGCATCACGCCGGCCGTCTTTACTTCTCAGGACTGTACCTGGTACCCACTCAAGGTTTCATCGGACCATCACACATGTTTTCACTAGTCATGCTTGGCCACAATATTGTGGTTTTCCTAATGTCTCTGGCAGAATACCTGTAAATTTCGTCTTATTGACGTACTGGAAACTTAGTAACTACTTATAATGACATAATATACAGCACATCAACCCCTTCCACTCTTCTCCCCAGCGCGCCCTTGTAAAGCCCTATATGTGCAACACTGGGTAAGTATACCGTACGTTTCTCAATGCCTCCTTTAAAACGGCAGCTTTTTTCTTACCTTCTACATCGGGACTTTTTCATTCGTCCTAATCCACCAGAAACTACAACTACAGATAAAAACATCATATATTGTACTTCGATTACCTCAGTGTGCCATTGACAATCCTTCTATGTACCACACTTGGCAGGCGTGCCGTAGGGTTTTCAGCCGCTTTTACAGAACGCCAGGCAATAATCTTTCATTATTCTCGATCCACCAGAAGCTTTAACTACTTAACGCGATCACGGAAGTAACACTTTGTGAATGAACCATCCGTCACACGAGACTGAAATAATCGAGACATATGTGCTTAATTGAAAAGGATGTGTACTTTCTACTTATTTGTGTTCATTATTATAGCCAGTCTATAATGAGATTTTTCGGCCCAAAAAAAAAAAAAAAAAGCCAGAGATCGCAAATAGGGATCGGAATATAAACAATGTAACTATGACGACGACGCCCTGATAGCAACAGAATTAAACGGATAAAAATAGTGTAAGAAATAATTATTATACAAAGTGAAAATGAGCGTTCTTTTGGCTATCCGATAGTCGTAAGAGAGTCACACCGTAAAAAACTCAGAGACCTCACCACGTAATATTCTCAAAATCAACGCTTGCCTGCAAACGTCTTAGATTCGAATCCACACATTGAGTAGATTTATCAATCTATTCCTGCACCTTACAAAGTCCTTTTGCACCTTGTGGTTTACAGCTAGGCTGTGATAACTACACCTTTCGGTGCAACGCATCCGATTTCTGAAAAAGCCGTAACCAGTCAACTTTCACAACATGCTTGTTAAGCGTCAATGAGTATCTCCCCCTCCCCCAACCCCCAACCCCCGCACTGTTACCCCTCCCGTTACGCATCCCCCTATGAATTGGGGCCCTTCGAACCCCCGCAGGAAATTTTATTTTTTTAACTGCCGTTGAATTCTGTGTTTCGTCTTCCTTTTTCTTCCGCCCCTGATCTCCCAGTGGAGCACAAACCTTCAACCAACTGACGCCAAGTCCTTCTGTCCTTTGCTACCGCATGCACTGCATCCTATGCCCTTCTCATATTTTCAACTTGACTCTGTAGCTTCCTTCTCCACGTTATTTGGTCTGCTATTATTTCTTTACCCTTGTGGGTTCCAGTGTAGAGCCATTCTAGTTACATTGTTCCTAGCTTCTCTCAGTTTGTGTTCTATCCAACGGCAGCATTTTTTCTTCACCTCTTCATTAACTTCAGTTTGTTTAGTTCTCTCTCAAAGCTCAACGTTAGTGATTATATCACAATATGTTTAGTTCTTTCCAAAACTCCATATTGGTGATCCTGCCATGCCATGTAATTCGTTTCTTTTGTGCAGGCAAAAGATTCACAAATTTACCCAGTCTAAAAATGACACTAGAAATATTATTCGAAGTGAAGTTAGCTAATTGACAGATGATCCTCACTGCACATTGAACAATTCATTCAGTAAATGTTTGGATCCCTCTCCCCAGTAAATGCCACAGCATGTACACGCTGACGACTCCCGTTCTGTCTTGGCTTATTATTCTTCTTTGGCTCCCTGCATGAGGCCCCTTGCCTGACTACATCACTTCTGATATGCTGTTCTTGCAGTCTGGTCATGGTTGCAGATTCACTGTCATTACTTGGTTCTCTCAAACGTCTTACCTCTCGTTGGACATTCAGTATATCAGCATGTTCCATGCCTTGTCTGCTCTTCACAGAAGCCTTACCTGCCAGCCTATCAGCCTGCTCATTTCCTTGACGCCTCTCTGGTCAGCAATATACCTGTCGCCTTTACTTCCTAGGACAGTACCTTGTACCCACTCAAGGCTGGGTCGACCTGTGAGTCAAGGCCATTTATGAAAAAAGGTCCGTCTCCGTCAGGATCCGAACCCATGACTTCCCGACCTGCAGGCGAGCGTAAAGTGGGTAGACCACGGCTGCTTCCGACAGTGGCATGGTTAATGTAATTTCTAGCACACCTTTAGGCTCCTAATTTTAAGCGCCACCACACCCCCCCCCCCCCCAACCTTCCAAATCGCACACCAGATTAAAATACACACAATATTTTGCACAATTGATTATGACAAACACAATATATTGCACAATTGATTATGACAAATACAATATATTGCACTAATGTTTATGACAAACACAATATATTACACAACTGATTATGACAAACACAATATATAGCACAACTGGTTAATAAAAAACACAATATATTGCACAATTGATTATGACAAACACAATATATTGCACAATTGATTATGACAAACACAATATTTTGCACAACTGGTTATGACAAACACAATATATTGCACAATTGACTACAACAAAAACAATATATTGCACAATTGATCATGACAAACAAAAAACAATTGCACAATTGATTATGACAAACACAATATATTGCACAATTGATTATGACAAACACAATTGATTATGACAAACACAATATATTGCACAATTGATTATGACACACACACACAATATATTGCACAACTGGTTATGACCAACGCAATATATTGCACAATTGATTATGACAAACACAATATTTTGAACAATTGATTATGACAAACACAATATATTGCACACTTGATTATGACAAATACAATATATTGCACAAATGTTTATGACAAACACAATATATTACACAACTGATTATGACAAACACAATATATGGCACAACTGGTTATGAAAAACACAATATATTGCACAATTGATTATGATAACACAATATATTGCACAACTGGTTATGACAAACACAATATATTGCACAATTGACTACGACAAACACAATATATTGCAAAATTGATCATGACAAACAAAAAACAATTGCACAATTGATTATGACAAACACAGTATATTGCGCTATTGATTATGAGAAACACAATATATTGCCTAATTGATTATGACAAACACAATATATTGCACAATTGATTATGACGAACACAATATATTGCACAACTGATTATGACAAAAACAATATACTGCACAACTGGTTATGACAAACACAAAATATTGCACAATTGACTACAACAAAAACAATATATTGCACAATTGATCATGACAAACAAAAAACAATTGCACAATTGATTATGACAAACACAGTATATTGCACATTTGATTATGACAAACACAATATATTACACATTTGATTATGACAAACACAATATATTGCACAATTGATTATGACACACACACACAATATATTGCACAACTGGTTATGACCAACACAATATATTGCACAACTGATTATGACAAACACAATATATTGCACAATTGATTATGACAAACACAATATATTGAACAATTGATTATGACAAACACAAAAGAATTGCACAATTGGTTGTGAAAAACACAATAAACTGCACAATTGATTATGACAAACACAATATATAGCACAACTGGTTATGACAAACACAATATTTTGGACAACTGGTTATGACAAACACAATATATTGCACAATTGATTAGGACAAACACAAAAAAAATGGCACAATTGATTATTACAAACACAATATATTGCACAACTGATTATGACAAAAAAAATTGCACAATTGATTATGACAAACACAATATATTGCACAATTGATTATGACAAACACAATATATTGCACAATTGATTATGACAAACACAATATATTGCAGAATTGATTATGACAAACACAATATATTGCAGAATTGGTTATCTAGAACATTCTTTCGTGTCTGTTACGGGAACATTACAAAAGTAACATCAACATAAAATGGATTTTTTTTTTTAGGAGCAAAAAGTAAAGTTTTTGCTAGCACATCTTGTAATAGAAAAAGATATATATCACATCCTAGCTTTTTATAGCCACAGACAGGAAAAGATTTTTAGAAAATCCACTCAATGCGGATTCGAACCTGAGACCTACGCATGGTCAAGCAAAGGCCTAGTTGCTGTTGTTTTTGATAATATTACAGTGTGAAACCCCACTCGCTTTTACGGTGCGACTCTGGCAACACTGTCGGAAAGCCAAAAGAACCTTTTTTTTTTTTAATTTCTCCAATCCTGCGCTGCCTTTCAATATCATGGATTTTAAAAACATGCTAAATAATAATTTATGCAGTACATAGTTTGTATCCTCATTATTTACGTGTCTGAACAGTAAAACAATGTTTTTGATAATGAAGATAATGTTGATAATGTTGATGATGATAATAACGATGATGATATTTTCTTTCATATGGTACAGGTCTTGCAAGTACCCTCAGATTTTCGCATAAAAAAGGAAGTACCCACCAAAATCTTTCGAATTTAGTTTGGCGACGTAAAAAATATAATGATGCTGAAAATGTAATTACCACAAAAGTCTTGAATTAACGAAGTGATCGTTTTGTTTATAACATACAAATGATCACCTTCCTACCTGTGCTTGAATGTCGTAGAAGGTACTCTTTCAGGGCATCTGTGTATCCGTGGTACCCGGCAGCCCATGTCTATGTAACCTCTCTGTACCATCAGTCCATACTCTAGTGGCTCTTCTTGCTGCTCTGGTCTTCAAAATGTGTATTTAGCTATCCTCCTGTGAACAGAAATAGACTTATTATATAAGGAAAGAACCATTTTGTTCGATGACAACAGTCAATAACCATGTTATTAGATGACAACAGTCAATAACCATGTTGTTAGATGACAACAGTCAATAACCATGTTGTTAGATGACAACAGTCAATAACCACGTTGTTAGATGACAACAGTCAATAACCATGTTGTTAGATGACAACGGTCAATAACCACGTTGTTAGATGACAACAGTCAATAACGATATTGCTAGATGACAACAGTCAATAACCATGTGGTTAGATGACAACAGTCAATAACCATGTTGTTAGATGACAACAGTCAATAACCACGTTGTTAGATGACAACAGTCAATAACCATGTTTTTCGATGACAACAGTCAATAACCATGTTGTTAGATGGCAACAATCAATAACCATGTTGTTAGATGACGACAGTCAATAAATATGTTGTTAGATGACAACAGTCAATAACCATGTTGTTAGATGACAACAGTCAATAACCATGTTGTTCGATGACAACAGTCAATAACTATGTTGTTAGATGACAACAGACAATAACCATGTTGTTAGATGACAACAGTCAATAACCACGTTTTTAGATGACAACAGTCAATGCTCGACATCAAAATAGTAAATTTATTAAACAGATGACAAAGAGGATCAAAGGGTCATGATCATCGAAGCCGTCAGAAGCACGAAAAATGGGTTAAAGAATGTGCAAGAGGGGGAGAGTTAGAAGAGGTGGAAGAATAATAAGAGGGTAAAGAGGAGGGGAAGGAGAAGAAAAAGAAGAAGAAGAAGAAGAAGAAGAAGAAGAAGAAGAAGAAGAAGAAGAAGAAGAAGAAGAAGAAGAAGAAGAAGAAGAAGAAGAAGAAAAAGAAGAAGAAGAAGAAGAAGAAGAAGAAGAAGAAGAAGAAGAAGAAGAAGAAGAAGAAAAAAAAAAAAAGAGAAAGAAGAAAGCGAGAAGTAGAAAAAAAGACAAGAAAGAGGATGTGGAGGAAGAATAATATTAATAATAATTATAATAAAAATTATAATAATAATGATAATAATAATAATAAGAAGAAAGCGAGAAGTGGAAGAAAAAGAAAAAGAGAACGAAGAAGAGGAGTAGGTAGAAGCAGAAGAAGAAGAAGAAGAAGAAGAAGAAGAAGAAGAAGAAGAAGAAGAAGAAGAAGAAGAAGAAGAAGAAGAAGAAGAAGAAGAAGAAGAAGAAGAAGAAGAAGAAGAAGAAGAAGAAGAAGAAGAAGAAGAAGACGAAGACGAATAATAAAAATAATAATAATAATAATAATAATAATAATAATAATAATAAGAAGAAGAAGAAGAAGAAGAAGAAGAAGAAGAAGAAGAAGAAGAAGAAGAAGAAGAAGAAGAAGAAGAAGAAGAAAAAGAAGAAGAAGAAGAATCATCATTTATCTATGCATCGATCCATCCATCCATCTTCCTGTCTACCTGCATATTTAGGTACCTATTTACCTACCGCCTCACAGGCCACCTATTTGTCTGCTCTGTGGGTTTAATTGTCTGTCTGTCTGTCCCCTTCTCTCTGTGTCTCTCCTTTCTCCCCAACCTCCCTTCCACTCCTCTTTTTTCTCCTTTTGTCGAACCCGATATTCAGCTACCAGGTTCCGCTGCGACAATGTTCAGCCCAATGTGACGTGAACTTCGCCGTCAGAGACTTGTCCCTGTTGCCGCCATAAATTACAACCCTCGTCACACGTCACATAACTGCCAGAGTTAAAACGCACACATTAGCCGCGGTCAGCGCGCGATAGTAATACCTCTTCATCGTAAAACATAATACACTCGTTAAAGCTAAATAGACTCAACGTAAGAGGGTTTTCATGTCGTCGAAAGCCGCATGAAAACCTGACTATTGGTTGGGGATCGATCCGCGCTGCGAGTCAGCAGACAGCCGAGTCACTAATGTTGAAAATATGGAAGTTAAAAATGAGACTTGTTAAGTATTTTCTATTGCCACTGAGGTAAAGTAAAGGACGAAGAGTTTTTTTTAAAACTCCAATGTCTTAGAAGACATGCTAGACTAAGATCTGTATATACTGAGCAGCGCTCGAGACGTCTGTCTCGCAACACCAGGATCAAAATATATAAAACGTTGATAAGACCAGTCGTGTTATATGGCTTGGAGTACAACTAAAAGAGATGAAGCCTTATTACAGGTTTTCAAAAACAGTCTTACGACGAATCTTTGGACCCATCGAAGATGCAAACAGCGGGGAGTGGAGAGTGAGAAGAAACAACGAAATTCATAATCTGTTTAAATCACCACTGATCACTGGCATCATGCGAGCTAATAGAATGAAATTGTTGGGGCATATCGAAAGAATGTCAGATGACAGGGAAGTAAAAAATGTATACACGAGGGAGATGAATGGTTGTAGACCACGAGGCAGACCAAGAAGACCATGGAGAGATAATATCCAGACAGACTTACAAACACTTGGTGTCACCAACTGGAAAGTGAAGGCCAACCAGAGAGATGAATGGAGGCGTGTGATGTCTGCAGCAATGAACCTTAAGGGCTCGGAATGCTAAAGAAGGAGAAAAAGAAGCAGCGCTCAGTGGGTGTTGTGGTTAGCATTACGGTCGTCTTGACTTCCCAGGACATTACTTGTTGCATATTTCGGGCTGGGTTAACTCGGGTGCCGAGGTAAACTTGAAAAAAAAAAAAAAGATCTGGTGACAGGCAGATGAACGTCTAGCTGGGACTTACTGCAGCTTTTCTTGTTCTCCCCTCTGCGTTTTATTCCCCAGTATCTCTGTGTGGTTTCCTGGGTCCTATTG